TATATATATATATATATATATATATATATATATATATATATATATATAGTAGAGATTCTTGAAGAAAGAAGCATCAATAACAAGTAGATTGATACTATAACGGAAACCCCGGACCGGACCAAATCATACATAGATTACATCTAGCATGGATTCCTACCCGATGATCCTGATGAAGCGAGAAGGGTAAAGACCAGGGCCCAACAGCTTTCAGTAAATGGGATACAAGTGTACAAGAGAGTATATATATATATATATATATATATATATATATATATATATATATATATATATATATATAGCAATGATTTGAATTTTGAGTTTCCAAAATTCAACAAAAATAATGTTTTTAAGTTGTTAGTATAACAGTTTTAAGATCTTATAACATTTTTTGGTTTTAACATTTAAATTATGTTATAAATAATTATTTTTAACAAAAAAAAAGATTTTTTAAGCCCAAAAAACAGATTCTTTTAGCCCAATAAAAATATAGCTCAAAATCAATTGGGGGGCGGGGAAACAGGGCGGGGGTGGGGATGTTAGAAATTTTGAGCGCGGGGCGGTGGAATGAGAAAATTTCGGGGGTGCGGCGGGGAATGCATCCCCGTCCCGTTTGCCGCCGTTGACATCTCTCTAATTGAGGACCATTATTAGTTTTGGATCGTTTTGCTAATTGCCCATCTATGTAATGTAGGCTAGCATTGACCCGTGAGCCGTGAGGAATGGACAAGAAAGACTTGGGAATTTTGCATTTGAATTTGTAGTCTTAGCTTTATATTTGATGTTAGATGAATCATTCCCTCCCTCGCACTTATGTTTTAACCAATTTCGTATTTTGTTTCTTTACCATATGGAACTTATAGGGTATGACCATTACACAACTTTTGAAAATTCAAAATTGTAATATTAATTTCAAACAGACGTGCAAGGACAAAAATAGAAAATACATTCTCCCAAATAGAAAATACAACTCACTTTCTATACAACATTCAATTCGTATTCAAAACACATATTCCAATCCGAATTTCATTCTACAACCCTTTAATCTCACAAAACTTTACGTACGTAGTTTCCAATATTCATCTCAACCACAAAAATACTATAAGATCAAAAAAGTCTTCCATAAAACTAATTCCCAGAATTCTTCCTCTTTCCGATCTCCACTAACATTGTCAACAAAGCCTCACACATCTCACATGCATCAGCACCCGTTTGATTCTTGCTCCATGATGAATACACCATCCATGCATGATCAAGCTTTTGATCGGGTCGAACCACCACCGATCCCGGGACCTCCGCATCGCGACATGTCACCAACCCATCGCTTTTCTCCCCATACCGGAGTTGCAGGTGGAGAGCTGACACCGCCATGGCGGCAGACACCGGAACCACCACCGGAACGCGGTGTTTCACCATGGGACCCACCTCGTATTCCGATTCATCAGTGCCGGGTCCCATGAATGGAAGCTTGGGAAGCTCTACGTGTGCTATGTGTGACATCATTGATATCACCCCGGGTCCCACGTTTGCTTCGGACCGAAATGATATGAGTGGGATTCCTTTTGGGAGTTTGTGTTTGCTCAAGAATTGCTTTCTTTTCTCGTATGTTAGATCCTCAAGAGACTTTATGTCCCCCTACGTAAAAATTAAAAAAAAAAAAAAAAACAGTAAAATGGTCATTGTTATTCAGACGATTCATTCGGTCTAACAAATATAAAAAAGTAAAAAGTAAGATTTACCTTGATGATCCTGCAGACTATGAGTTCCATGATTCTTCTAGTTTCTTTATCAGCAATCTGGCCTTCACGCATGATATCAGATGCAATTGGGGTTCCACCATAAGGACTCTGCACAAGCGCCAATCCTGCAACTTTATCTTTTAAATCACACCAATAAATCGATAATGCAGCAGCAGCATCCACACCACCCTTGCTATGACCAAGCAACATCACACGTTTACCAGAGCCCCAATACAACTCTTCAATATATTGCTTCAATACCCATGAATTGTACTCCACTGATGCCTTCATTTTTTTTATATCAAAATCAAGAAATCTTGGTGAAATTAGATTGGTTTAATGCAAGAAAGTATATTGTTATATCATGTGCTTAGCTCAAATCAAGAACAAGATCATGGTCTAAATGCATGAAATAAATTTCTTGATTTTAAGGTTGAAAATCAAGAAACGATACCTCACTATGGATTTTTGCTATATGGCAAGCTAAACCCATCTTTGAAAAGAATCTCTTGGTGCTAACAAAGTACAAGGGACCATGGTTGCTGAATAATCCTGAAAATTCACAAAATTTTCAGAAAAAAAAATAGCAAATTTTATGTTCAAAGTCAAACAAGAAACGAAGAATTAGTAGGAAAGTCAAAACAACACAAGTTTTTTTTTTTACCTGGAATTAGTAAATACACGTATGAATCGGGTAGATTGTGCTCTCCATTCCTTAAGAAGAAAACACAACATTGTTTTAAACAAGGGTCAAATGCAAGAAATAGCAATGTATTTTGATTGATTGTTTTTTTATAGCATCCTACTTTCATTTCTTCCTTTTACAACATTGTCCTAATAAGAAAAAAGTTAAAAGTAAAATGCTAAAATTGGGAAATAAAAAAAAAATGAAACTCTCATGTTATAATATAGAAATAAATGAAATTACATTGCTTTTTCTTGCATTTAGCCCTTTAAAGTAATCACTTAATTAGGGATCTATGATAGAATTTGTACCTTATTGAATTTAAAAGTTCTAAAAATCTAGCGGATCCATCTTCAACTGGATCCATGTTAGGGTCCCGTTGGATCCATCCAATATCAGTGGATGACCCATGTAAAGTAATCTGTACTCGAGATATAATGCTGACAAATTCCAAGATAATCGGAACAAAAATAGCATAAAAAAAGTCAATATACAAATACCAAAGAATCTTTATGATCATTTTGAAACAAGAAAATCGATTACTAACCTCCTAACACGAATTCGTGCACGTTTAATGCATTGAGAAGAGATCCGGTAAGGAGCCAATGCTAGAACCAAAGCCGATTTTACAAAAAATTTAGTGAGTTCCAACCTACAATTGTACAACTGCAAGAAATCAGGTACACAACAGTCTGCTAGGTGGCTAGCATAAAAGGGGCCTAATCCACCTTGGGAAAAGAAAATAGGGAATACCGAAAATACCCTTTTAAAATGAAGTGGATACCGCCATAAAAGAACTTCCTTTCTATAATTTCGAACCCCGAAGGTGAACAATCCTCAAGACTTGAAGTTTCTTGATTATGTACATCAAGAACTGTAACAAGATTCTTTGATGTTGAAGAACAAGAAGATGAGCAGCTAGTGGAAATAGAAGATCCGGGGTCTTGAGAGGAAGAAACGGACACAAAATCTTCAGAGAATCCAACAACGTCTCTGTATATAAGATCCTCTATGGTAACATTCAAGTTAGTTTTTTAAAGGGTATACAAAGAATGGATTAAAAAAAGATGTGTAATGGACTTACCAAAAAATTGGATAAAACGATTGCTTAAAAAAGAAGTCAACGCCAAAAGACGGGAAAAAATGTCATCCAATAATGCTTGTGGCATAAAAGGACTAACAATCCCCATACCATTATTGTAACCCTGATAAAACACACCTATATTAGAAACTCAAAACAATCATAATGCGTTTGACATGCATTGGATTGAAACTGATCTCAATGGTGCATTGGATTGAGATTGATGTCAATGAGACAAAAATTGTAACTTTTTGTCCCACCTAAAAAGGGTAACATAAGGAGGGCATTCATGTCTTTTTTAGAATTAAATTTTGTTTACAAAAAAGGGAAATGGCGGTTATTTCAAGATAGGCACGTATTTGTACTCACTATTGATTGGCCATGTGAAATTCCTCCATGGATATACAAGTCTCCCATTACAAGCAGTCCTGAAGAACATAAAGACTTGATTAATAAATTGGTGTTAGAGTGACTAATTGTAACTTAAAATACATTTAAGATTTGGTATAATGTGATCCATCACCATATTTCAATCACAGTCGGTCTTACTATCAACATGATCAAAACACATAATCAAGGTAAAAAGATTGTATAGATATAGAAATCCATTGATAAGATTCAAGAACAAATCGAAGAAATTAAACACATACCAATGAAGAAGCAAACTTACAAGATTCTGTAGAAATGAATCCCGAATCAATTGACGGAGACTTGAATCTGCAGAACGCGATACAGATCACTTTCAGAACCATAAGAACCATATATTTATAGTCTTATAGATAATAGATGAGTACATTAAATGCGACCGCGTCATCCGCATGAACTTTCCCAATTTGATTAAAGCATTAAAGAAATCTATTAATATATTATATGGATCATTATAATATTGGGGAAGTATTTTGATTCGAACCGAATTAAAGAGGCTGGCATCGATTTGGAATGGAGTGTGGCAAAGAAACTGATCCAAAAAGCTGATCTTTATCCAATGCCAGTTAGATTGGCCCACCTCAGGTCCCAAATCAAAAGCAAAAGAGAAGAGTGGGGTTCCAAAATATCCTGAAATTCGAAACTTCTACGAAATACCTTTCGCAATCAAGATCGTATGAAGGTGAATTTCATATAAAGAAGGTGAAATCGGTAGATTTTGAGGTGAAATTCCATATATCCAGAGTCAATTTGTTTAAATTTTTTCAGAAGTTCAAAATTCAAACATTTAAAAAACACCCTCCAAAATTAAGAACCGGGATTGCTTGAGACTGAAATCATCTTTGATACTTTAAATCTGACAAAGGTGAAGAAGAGCAGATTTTGTTGGAAGAGGAGAGTGGGAGACGATGGATTGAGGACACGTGTCGGCGTAATGATGAAGATGTTGATGTAGTCAGCGAAATGGTGTCTTTTTGGGGAAGGAAAATCGATTAAAGTAGTCGCTTAAAAGCCGGACATCGTTGAGGAGTTAAAGAGAAGAAGGAAAGTCACGTGGCCATAGGGGGTGTTCCTTTCCTTTTTAAGCTAATGACTTTTGACTTTTGAGGATTTCTATGCATTTAGATAGTGGTTGAAATTACAGTTATAAAAATATGATAAAAATAAAATCACAATTATAAGGATAAGGCCGGTGTATCAAGTTCATCAATCTCCAGCTCAGTCGATTTCTCAGCCCATCTTTGTTAAAGAGAGAGAAACTGCATACACATGCTAAACACAATAAAAACAATTCAGGCATCTCGAGTATCTAGGACAATGTATTTTGGCATTCACCTTGCTTGAAATCCACCGCATTAATTCTCTCTCTCTTTGCATTTTCCAGTTGTATTATGAAAATGCTTACAACATGTTTAACTAGTGAGATAGAGAGCGGCAATTTACTCGATGAAAGGAAAAGTGAAGAGGAAGAGCAAAGGAAATAGTGTGGTGGCGTTAAGGTGATACACAAAAAATAAGGAAAGGTATGATACTACATCTCATAGCCTAAGTGTATATGTTTTTGTTAGAATGGAGAAATTATAAGACTACATGTGAAAAATTATGTATTAAAATGATCATAAAGAACTAAGATATCAACATGACCAACTTTTCATCTTTTAAAACCCTCGCTAATCTGCAAATCTACATTTAAGCTTGTGAACCTTCGCAAGATATTTTGTTGCGATTATGGTTTTTTTGCATATTTTTTCTACAAAAATCACATTAAAAATATCACAATATGTGATACATCGATCCTTTGTTTATTTATTGACCAATTTTATTAAATAAAATATAAGAATATTAGGATTAAAAGGGGAAATTTCTTATTGTGTGGTCTTATGTTTGAGATTGAAAAAACACACACACACACACACACACACGAACCTGCTAGGTTTCATGCAAACAAATAAACTTAAAACCCTTAAGTTCGCATGCAACCTAAAGATTTATGTTTTCACTATTGAACCTATAACTAAGAACATCAAATAAGAAACCCTAGGTACATTTTGAAAATCATAATAGGGTTTATGTTTACATAACTTGTTGTTATTATAGCAAATAACAAGAATCCTTTACTTGTAGATCTCTTGGAAGCAAGACCAACAATTATCGTGTCTCTAATACATCATACTCAAACTAGCAAAAAGGATGACTATAGAGAGAGGATAGGGGAGGGGAGAATTTCGGCTATCTCTATGGAGGTATATGTCGTCGAAAATACAAGGGTTAAGGGTCTTTATATAGTGGTCCAAGAAAACCCTAGATAACTCTGATTTGAATATTAAATTAATATTCAAATCTGGTATTTATCTCATTCCTTATTTATCCACATGATATATTTTAGAAACCCTAGAATATCCTCTCAAAACCGTCCAACCCTAATGGTGGAAGGTACTGGAGTCTCTTGTTCAACTATTGAACAATTACCCTTTAGACCCTACACTTTTAATTAATTCTGTTAATCCCAAAATTAATTTTAATTAATTTCTGATTAATTATTAATTAAATAATAGTTTTCTAATTAATATATTATTTTCATAACACATTAATAAAAAATTTATATTAATTTATTAATCACATAATAAATTAATCTCTCTCTAAAAGTCATCATATCTAATTGTTAGGTTTGAGGGCAACCCAAAAAGACTGTGCTACTATCAATTCAACTATATACCAACCATAGTTATGAGCTTAGACACCTAATCCAACAGTCTTCCACTTGGATAAGTTTGTAACTATAACTACCAGTACAACTTCTGAATTGATCAGCAAATTGTAACTTCTAAAAGCCGCTGCCGAATTCTCACCCAATCAGTTACGCGTCCTAAGATAAGTGATCGTATAATCCTCTGTTTTGCAAGATATCATTCTGACATGAGACATGGAATAGAATCAATCTCATTCTCCAAGACTTTGTTTCCTGATTTCTGATTTGTGATGATATAGGACTTCTAATTGAACACATCAATTTAGTCTTTGCTGAGCCCAAGACTATAAGTCAACACCAAATCACCGAGGGGTCCAAAGATATCATATTTCTCGTTAGGGAAAAAGGAACGAACAAACTTCGACTCATATGCTTGCATCCTTTACTCATCAAATCATACATGACAATACATTTTATAACATCAAGTTACTGATGCGTTTACGCATTACCAATGTACAACTGACTTGTAAATTACAACTCATATATCTCCGTTTCAAGATCATAAGATATTATCGTCTCAGAATTACTCGTGATAGAATCCATGAAGTAATTCTCTGAGCGTGGGTTTATCCAATACTTAAATCTTCATTTCTAAGTATTCATGAACATTACAACAATTCTATTGCTATGTCTAACCCCCTTAGACAATCTACAATTAAGTTCATGACAGTCTTAATTCACTACTTACTTCCAAAAGTACGAACGACAATGGAATTTGAATAATCATATTATTATGGAAGTAAAACATGCAAAACGAAACACAAGAATAAACAATTGACAAAAGGCAGTAAACAAACTCATAAATAATTCTCCATTATTTAATCACCAAAAATAAATTACATTTATTTTGTCACAAGTTTCAAAATAACTATCTAACTACTAAAAACTAATATAATCTCTCAGACCAATGCTCCTTGCATGTTGATTGTGTTAGACCCTACTCAGAGCCTTCGTTAAAGGGTGAAACATCCCAAAAATACGGTCCAAAAATTTTGATTTTAATTATTCATAAAACCATAAATACCATCCATCATCTCATAAAAACATAAGTAATGTATCTTAAATCATCATAACAATATATTGTATCAAAATCATGAGTTAAATATCAGAGTTTAAACATCCCAGGCTGAACGAATGGTGTGTGCACTGCAATCATCCCGAGCTTTTCCCCTTGCTACTGGAAGTACCTGAAACAAAAACTGAAAACTGTAAGCACGAAGCTTAGTGAGTCTCCCCAAACTACCACATACCATACACATAAGCACATAACAACATACATTGGGCCTAGCCCGCTATATCGGGCCCCGCCCGGCATCGGACGAATCCGGCATCAGGACCCGCCAGGCATCGAGCCCCGCTCGGTATACAGATCTGTTCCTACCAGGCCCCGCCTGTCTCTGGGCCCCGCCCGCTATACGCATACATACAATAACATATAATCATTCTAGTACATAAAAGTCAAATACAACACTATAACTGCTAGTCTCAAGGCCCCGCGCCCTACTCTACTAATAATGAGATATGGAACCCCGTCCACACTCAGCTAGTGCTGAGATACGGGACCACGCCCACACTCACCTCCCTACCAGGCACATACAAGTATCACAAAGACAACAAGTATAACTAAACATGCATTCCTTCCTTGGGTACCACCCGACATCGAACCAAAGTTCGGAAACATACATATAACCTTCCTCGGGCCTCGCCCGGTATCGGACCGAAATCCGGAAACATATAAGCTACATCAGGCTAACCCCGAAATCAAATCTAAATCCAGCATACACTAACATACATAAACGGGCCGACATTGATGCCTTCGACCTGTTCCTACTGGAGAAAACTCACCTCACAAGCTGACTACATAACCCCGCGAATAAGCCTCTCGCTGCTAGTTGGTAGCTGCCCGAGCTGCTGATCTCTCGACTCCCCAAGCTATCATTACCAACAAAATCCTTAGTTAAAAACTGATAATCCTTCTTAGGTTAAAATGACCATTTTACCCTTGGTCTAAGTCAATGCTTGGTCAAAGTTAAAGTCAACACCCCGAGTTGACTCAACTCGCCGAGTTCTATAAATCAGAACCCTGAAATCGCGATCTAACTCGTCGAGTCATCCCTCCTGACTCGATGAGTTCCTTTGCTACTCTTAGTCGTGACAAAACGAGTCAACTCATCGAGTCCCTTCACAGACTCGTCGAGTTCTACCTTAAACTGGATCGGGACATCACGACTCAACTCGTCGAGTTCCTCTATGGACTCGACGAGTCCCGTAGTCTATTTGGGCCATCTTAACAGATTAAGCCTCTACTCTCCAGATCGAAACTCCATACTTCTTATACATACTGAAAGAGCCCTCCTAAGGGTAAAGTTTCCAACTTTACCCGTTAATAGTCCTTCCTAATGGGTTTAGCTCAAACCCTAGTTCTTTAGGACATAGATCTTTGTCCAAAAGCCATAATACTCCAAACCAAAGCATGAAAATCGAGATCTAGGGCCTAGACACCAAATGAACACGTAAAGTCTCAGGTTTCCTTTCATGCATGGCCTTTTGGGGCTTAAAAGGCCATGATAACACCTTAAAGCTTGCATGGGGCTTCCATGGTCATAAAGTTTGCACCTTTATGCCATAAAACCCCTTCTAGACCCCAGATCTGAAAGTTAAGTCACTTGGGACGTCCATTTCCCAAGGACTAAGCTTCTTGGACCAAAAACCCTCATAAAATGAAAATAAGGAGATCTAAGAGACTACTAGGCAAGTTGGAGGCTTGATTACCATAAAAGGATGAGGATAGGATGTTGCTTCTGGATCTATAATCTTCTCTTGGAATCCTCTAACTTCTTCTTCTTCTTCTACAAGCTTCAAATCACACAAGGTTCACTCAAAAATAGCTCACAAGCATTAGGGTTTCGAGATCTAGGGTTTGGGACTTGGAGGCTGGAAATGAGGCCATAAATTGGGGATTAAGATGCTTAAATAGGGTGCAAAACCATGAATTTAGGGTTTCCCAAACCCATACCAACTCGTCGAGTTGGTCCTCCCCAACTCGTCGAGTAGGTTTCTCAACCCGCGTCCCAAAAATTGATTTCTACTCGTCGAGTTGTCCCCTTTGGACTCGACGAGTAAACCTTCAATTTGCTTATTATATTTCCTTAATTAGCCTTCTGGTTTTCGGGTGTTACAAAGGTTCTATATGATTCTCTTCTGATGATACCCTCTTCACGATGAGATAACCTTTTTCTACCCTATGTCTGATGTAATGGTACTTTCTATCAATATGTCTAGACTTTCCATGATCTCTTGGTTCCTTAGTCAAGGCAACCACTCCT